AGTACATTATATGTTATACCCGGCCTATAGGTCATATTGTTTGACTTTAGAATAAATTATCCTTTCTTGTTATAAAAATCGGTAATCTCATTGATCATCTGCTCATTGAATACCTTATGTTTGTATATGGTTTACAACCTAAATATTACTGTTTTCGTGAGTTTAAAAAACTAGACCTGTCTCATATGATGTGGACTTGTTCAAAATTTATAAAATTGTACTCATTCCCAAATGTGAATGCTCTTAGAGCATCCACATTGATGTGTTGGAAATATTGAGAGTATTTCAAATGAATAAACTATCTCTTATTATCTAATGATATTACTTTATTAATCAATTTTATACATTAGACACTTTGGTATATTATATTAAAAATAATAATAATGAAAGTTCATTGAGTTCTTCCAAATAATAACGGCAAGAACCATAAATATTCATTTACTTTGGAAACGTGCATCTTTATCAATTATAAATTAAGAAGTGTACGTTTATTGTCAATCGTGGTGCACTACTTGTGTGTTTTAAAGCGAATAAATAAATCTGCTATCATAACGGATGACGAGCTACGTTGTGGCTTTGATTATTATAATTAAAAGTGTGTTGGCAGCAACGGTGTGTTCATGATCATAGTTAATAGCCACCAACGTTCGGATTTATGTGTATAAATATTGAGCTTGAGCTACCAGGTTGAAATCAACATTTTTACGTGCGAACAAACACAACTCCCTAAATATTATTTTGAAACTCTTGCTGGATTAATTTTATTTTTATTCTCGTTATTCTGTTACCGGCTTACGCCGAAGAGCTCGTTATATCTTGGGGAAAGATTTTCGCTAGTCGGAAATACTTTCTTGAGGACAGCGTCTGACGCGTCTCGAGCTAGATTATTTTCTAACGTTATTTTGCAGGTATATCCGGCCGAATTTCCATCAACAATCTCAAGAAAGTATTTCGTGTCGGATATGTCTGCACGTGTGATCTCACAAGGCGTTGTCGCTGCACTTATCACGGCCATGTTATTCTTGCATGTGTGGTGTGATTTAGACTGGTATTTGGATATATCTCTACGTATAATGCTTACTCTCTTTACTTCTCTACTTACAATAAGCCATACTTTAACACCAATTTTTGAGAAAAATATTATTCCTTTATTTAGTGGTAAAATGACAACTATGAAAAACAACAACCCACTAAAATCAAGTTTAAACTTGGTTAGTAGTGATGATAATTTTATTGCGGTTGTTTCTCAAAATTGTAAAACGAATGATGTGAATGAGTGGGTGGTAGACTCCGGGGCTACCAAGCATATTTGTAAAAACAAAAATGCTTTTACCTCCTATACTATTATAGGAGATGGTGAAGAGCTCGTATACCTAGCGGACTCTAAAACCGTTAAGGTGCATGGAAAAGGGAAAGTTCTTCTTAAACTCACATCGGGGAAAACTTTATCACTAAATGATGTGTTTCATGTGCCCGAGATTCGGACTAATTTAGTTTCTGTTTATCTCTTGGGAAAAGTTGGGGTTAAAGTTTCTTTTGGTTGTGATAATTTTGTTATGACCAAAAATGATGTTCTTGTGGGAAATGGCTATTGTAAGAAAGGACTATATATACTTGGCATTTCTGAAATATTGCATGATAATGCTTCTGTCTATTTAGTTGATTCTTATGATGTGTGGCATGCTAGATTAGGACATGCAAGTAATTCTTATATTAAAATGCTAAATGATTGTGGTTTGATTTCTTTTAAAAATAAAACGACACATGAAAAATGTGACGTTTGTGTTCAATCTAAACTAACCAAAAAACCTTGTCCCTCCACTTATAGGGAATCGGAATTGCTTAGCTTAATTCACACGGATTTAGGTGATTTAAAAAATACCATCACTAGAGGTGGCAAAAAATATTATGTCACCTTTATAGATGATTTTTCTAGATACACTAAAGTTTATTTGCTTAAAAATAAAGATGAGGCTTTTGATAAATTTTTAGTGTATAAATCTGAGGTAGAAAATCAATTAAATAAAAAGATTAAGAGAGTTAGATCGGATAGAGGGGGTGAGTATATTTTATTTAATGATTTTTGTGAGAAAGAAGGGATAATCCATGAGGTCACTCCACCATATTCACCTAAATCTAATGGAATAGCTGAAAGAAAAAATAGAACACTAAAAGAGATGATGAATGCTCTTTTAATTAGTTCCGGTGCACCTGATAATCTTTGGGGGGAGGCTATTCTTTCTGCTTGTCACTTACAAAATAGGATTCCTCGTAAGCACTATAAGAAAACCCCTTATGAATTGTGGAAAGGCTTTGCACCTAATTTGAAATATTTGAAAGTGTGGGGGTGTTTGGCTAAAGTCTTATTGCCTGATCCCAAGAAGAGGAAAATCGGTTCTAAGACTTCTGATTGCATGTTTATTGGTTATGCTGAATCTAGTGCCGCTTATAGATTTCTTGTTTTGAAAAGTGTTGTGCTTGAATGTGATACAATTGTTGAAACAAAAAATGCTGAATTTTTTGAAAATGTGTTTCCTTTGAAACGTGAACACAAGACCGTTGCACCATATAGTGAGTATGATCCATTACAAGGAAATGAAACCTTTAATGATGAACCCTCTAGTGATAGTGAGCCATTAAAAGAAAATGATTCTTTTAATGATGAACCTTCTCTTTTGAGAAGAAGTAAAAGGCCAAGGATAGAAAAATCTTTTGGAAATGATTTTTATACATATCTTGTTAATGATGAACCTTTAACTTATTCACAAGCTATTTCTTCCAAAGAAGCTCCTTTTTGGCTTGAGGCCATACAAAACGAAATTGATTCTATCAAACAAAATAAAACTTGGATTTTAACCGATTTACCGAAAGGTTGCAAACCAATCGGATGCAAATGGATTTTTAAAAAGAAGTTAAATCCGGATGGTTCAATTGATAAATTCAAAGCGAGGCTTGTGGCAAAAGGTTTTTCTCAAAAGCAAGATGTTGATTATTTTGACACATTTGCACCGGTAACGCGTATTTCTTCTATACGAACTTTAATTGCCTTGGCTTCTATTCACAAACTTTTTGTCCATCAAATGGATGTTAAAACTGCGTTTTTAAATGGTGAGCTAGAGGAAGAAATTTATATGGTGCAACCGGAGGGTCATGTAGTTATTGGTCAGGAACACAAAGTGTGTAAGTTGATCAAATCATTATATGGTTTGAAACAAGCTCCAAAACAATGGAATGAAAAATTTGATGAAGTATTATTTTCTCATGGTTTTAACTCACTAGAAGTAGATAAGTGTGTATACAATAAATGTGAAAATGGTGTGTGCATTATTATTTGCTTATATGTGGATGACATGTTAATTTTTAGTAGCAACCTTGAGTTAATAATTGAGACAAAATCCTTTCTTGCTTCAAAATTTGTTATGAAAGATTTGGGGGAAGCAAAAGTGATTTTGGGTATGAAAGTCATAAGGAAGGATGATGGTATTATACTATCTCAAGAGCATTATGCTGAAAAACTTCTAAAGAGGTTTGGACATTTCGATGTCAGCCCCGTGAGCACCCCTTATGACTCTCATACACATTTGAAAAAACATAGAGGTGATCCCGAGGCTCAATATGAGTATTCCCAAATTATTGGAAGTTTATTACACTTGATGAATTATACGAGGCCCGACATAGCTTATGCTGTCGGAAGATTGAGTCGATATACTCATAATCCAAGTGGGGATCACTGGACCGCGTTGAGGCGGTTACTCAAATATTTGAGAGGTACCATTAATTATGGTATATTTTATCATGGGTTACCCGCTATACTAGAGGGATACAGCGATGCTAACTGGGTCTCTGACTCAGATGAGATAAAATCCAATACTGGATATATATTCACCCTTAGAGGTGGTGCCATTACGTGGAAATCAACCAAACAAACTATAATTTCTAGATCCACTATGGAGTCCGAGCTTATTGCTTTGGAAGTAGCCTGTAGTGAAGCGGAGTGGTTGAAATCTTTCTTAGCAGAAATTCCGGTTGGTACAAAACCAATACCATCTGTGTCTATTCATTGTGATTGCAGAAGTGCAATAGATACTGCTAAGAAAATGTGTTATAATGGGAAGAATAGACACATTTGTTTAAGGCATAAAGTCATTAAACGATTATTGAAGAATGGAATTGTGTCCATTAATTTTGTGAGGTCACAAGGAAATTTAGCGGATCCTTTGACAAAAGCCCTAGGACGAAAATTAATAACCGAAACATCTAAGGAAATGGGACTAGTGTCACTTGAAACGAATGGGGATGGGAACCCAACTTGTGTGATTGGAGATCCCATGAAGCAAGTTCAAATGGGTAATAACAAGTCTTCCATTTAGTTCTGCTAGCCTAACTAAAATTGCCCATTTCCATGATGTGAGATATAGGCTAGAAACCGCATACTTTGAGAGGATGAGCTGAAAGCTCTTAATGATTATCATAGCCCTTACTTTTAGGGTGGTGTGCAAAAGCGGTACACACTTGATGATATCACCTATATGAGTGTGAGGTGGGGCCGCCTCCATGAAGCATGACAAAACTTCTAGAGCACTCATGAAAACCAAGCACGCGCATGGCCTTACGGCGCACAACGGCGTAATAACGAGAAATTGTGTAGGGTGAGGCACGACCGTTAAGACCCTGATTTACCAATAGTAGCTTGTTGGTTTCAAGAAACTATAGGTTTCACCACAAGCTCGGTTTATTAAGACTTAATCGTCTCGGTTTGGTTTCAAGTCTACGGACACCAAACTTAAAGTCTCATTCCTTTAATCCAGCAGATATTTTCTAAACTACTTTTAACATCTAAAAAATATTCATTTGAAATATGTGAGGGATTGTTGGAAATATTGAGAGTATTTCAAATGAATAAACTATCTCTTATTATCTAATGATATTACTTTATTAATCAATTTTATACATTAGACACTTTGGTATATTATATTAAAAATAATAATAATGAAAGTTCATTGAGTTCTTCCAAATAATAACGGCAAGAACCATAAATATTCATTTACTTTGGAAACGTGCATCTTTATCAATTATAAATTAAGAAGTGTACGTTTATTGTCAATCGTGGTGCACTACTTGTGTGTTTTAAAGCGAATAAATAAATCTGCTATCATAACGGATGACGAGCTACGTTGTGGCTTTGATTATTATAATTAAAAGTGTGTTGGCAGCAACGGTGTGTTCATGATCATAGTTAATAGCCACCAACGTTCGGATTTATGTGTATAAATATTGAGCTTGAGCTACCAGGTTGAAATCAACATTTTTACGTGCGAACAAACACAACTCCCTAAATATTATTTTGAAACTCTTGCTGGATTAATTTTATTTTTATTCTCGTTATTCTGTTACCGGCTTACGCCGAAGAGCTCGTTATATCTTGGGGAAAGATTTTCGCTAGTCGGAAATACTTTCTTGAGGACAGCGTCTGACGCGTCTCGAGCTAGATTATTTTCTAACGTTATTTTGCAGGTATATCCGGCCGAATTTCAATCAACATGATGATCCTCAACTTTATGGTTTTTCATGACTTATTATTGTCATGTCACTTCCACATAAGATTACCTCAAATGATCTCCAAACCAATAAATTTCTCCTCATTCATGATCTTAATTTGCCTAGATTTTTTATGAGACATACACTCAATTTCAAAAACTATATTACTACATATACATATATATACATACATATATATATATATATATATATATATATATATATATATATATATATATCTTCCTTAGAGTACTAAGTGTCATAGACAGTCTTGGTCTTTTTTCCGTCATTGCTTTGGTCATTGTACCATGTGCTATTACGATGTTTTTTCCGTGATGTCTTAACATAATCCGTTAGTTGTTAACACTTAATAATTATAAACAGTGAAGGAACACGTGGACTAGCACCTCTTAAGTAATGAAAACTAGCAAGGGGCACGTGTATTCCACTATGAATTGCACTATATGCATTTTATATATACATAGGTGGACCTTTATATTTTGAGTCGGTTGTGGCTTTGTTTTCCCGGTTCGTGGTGTGCTTCGGGTTTGTGTGTTCCTGATTTTGAGAGTTGCTTTTGACGGTATGTTTCTGGTTGGGTATCTTCGTTTTGGGTTTCAATCGATTGTACAAATCGTTCCTCTTTATTAGTTGTCTTCAAATTAGTTGTCCCTAAAGTGTTTGTCAAATTGTCCCAACCCATAAAGCATGAGATTTGTTCATTTCTGAAAGATTTTGTTTGATCTTGAAGAATCCAAAGGTTTTGAACGAGGAAAAAAGTAGAGGAAGATTGTATTCCTTTTTAATAGTTGTCTGCAAAGTGTTTGTGAAATTGTTTCAAAGAAATAATTGATATGAAATAAATATGTATGTGTTAATTTATAATATGCGATTAAAAAATTAAGTCTTAGTTCCTGCAATTTTGTAGGCATAAAACGGACCATATTAATATTAACAGTTTTTTAACATCAGGGCAATTGACGAAAAGCAAAACAATGATTTTTTAGTGTACTTGTTTCTTTCTTTTCTCCTAAAAAAAGACTGAGTTTATTCCACTTTATTTTTTTTATATTTTATTTTAGCCATTAAAGATTATATTTAAAAGTAAGATGAAAGTAAGAACATTTAACAGTATCAATCTAACTATGAGTATACAAAAGTGTCTTTTGTATAACAACCACAATGTAATTAAACCGTTTCCCATGTTTGTTGACCATTGTCATCCGAAAGCTCCCACGTGAGTTTATTGTAACCGCAAAAGGACAACAAAAGGCAAATGAGTTTGTCATTGTCAATGAAGAGTAATCCATTTAAAACCTTTAACTACCACATATTAGTTAACAAATTAATGTACATAAATTACATATGTACTAAATTTTTGGTCACAGGGCAAAACCAGTTGTTGTAACACTCTGGGACAGCTTTGCGACTACCCAGGGAATTGAACTTGACAAACTTCTCCGTATCGGTAACTATCCTCTTATTCTCGCCAAACGACTTGGTATAACAACAATTCAAGGTATTTAATATGTTTACCTTGCCTCATACAATAGTTGATGCAATAATTTGCTTTATTTCCATTAAAACTTTAATGGAGAGATAGTAATCTGTGGACGTATATTTAATGGAAAGATTGTAATGGAATTTATTTTTAACCATACAGGTATTTCTTTGACCACATGCTATGATGCATCAATTCAAATCAATCCAACAGGATCCCGGGCTGCCCTCTTAAAAGAATGGTAAATACTCTTTGCACATGACATAAATGTATCCCAATACAGTAAATCTGGTTCACCAAAATATATTTTATTGTCTAGGAGGAGTGCAAATACAGAGATGATCCAACAATTACTACTCCAAAACGCTCATGCTGATTCTCTAATTGCACTAGGACAACCACTTAATCAACCATCTGTATCCATTTCAGAAGCGATGAATTGTTATGATGAAGTTGGTTACAACTATTTAAATTAATTCACATACCACAAATTCTTTTTCCATTGTATCCATGATGTCAAAAAATTCTTTACCCATTGTATCCATGATGTCAATAATTAGAACTACTGTTATACCCATTGTATCTTTCTTACTATACTTCATTCGATATGAATATATTAGTACAATAAAAATACTAAACTGCATGTAGTCTATCAAATTTGTATACATTTTGTGCTATCCCATTCAATAACATGAAATATTCTCTTTATACACTATGTCTCCAGAAGGTCATTTTTTTTCTATTAAAGTATTATTCTTAACATGCATATCTTTCATTTTTGAGTAAATTCTATACATCAACTCGTGGTAGATTAGCTAATTTCAGTTGAACATTCAGATTCTAGAACTACTGTTTTACCCATTGATTTTGCTGATGTCAATCAATTCTTTATCCATTGTATCCATGATGTCAATAATTATAACTACTGTTTTACCCATTGTATCTTTCTTACTATACTTCAGTCAATATGAATATATTAGTACAATAAAAATACTAAACTGCATGTAGTCTATCAGATTTCTATACATTTTGTGCTAACCCATTCAATAACATGAAATATTATCTTTATACACTTTGTCTCCAGAAGGTGGTTTTATGGGTGAAAGGGAAGTTAACACTCATTGATAATGGATGGCCAACATTTTACGTTAGTTGTAACGCATGTCACAAAAAAGTGAATTCTCCGACCACCAGACATCATGTTCCAACATCATGCACTGTGGCCAACAAAGTGGAATCACGTCCAAGAGGTATCCTCAAATATTAGTTATTCATTCTACATAATCATTTCCACCCTCACAATAAAAAAACTCTGACTTCATATTTTATCTCATTTACAGATTTAGAATGCAAGTTCAGTTGGAAGACAAGACTGCAAAACTTGATAGCACTTTGTTCAACCACGATGCGGAGAAGCTCTTCCAATATGCAGGGATTGACAGAGACACAGGAAATTGAACTCCATGAGCTTCATGATAAATTGGCCACCTTTATTTCATCGCAGGAGTGAAGCCCGCTTCTAAAAACCAACAGTCCAGGCCATACACAAGTCACTCTATAGTATGCCTCATGAAAGTCAATTTGCTACCATCCCTGGGCACCTTCCTTCCTAAAGAGAATGAAGAGCAAGCAGAAAACGCTGAAGCTCCAGAAACCAAACCAAGTAATTCTGCAACATCCTCAAAACGAAAACTTGAGATACTTGATGCCTTTGAAGAACCACACCCCGAGCATCAATGCAAAACACTCCAAGACCAATACACACAACCAAATCCCAATCACAAAAGAAAGTGAAGAAGACGAGCCCCTCATCAAGACTATCCGCAGAATCAAGAAAAAATGCCACAAGTAAAAGACAATGCATGGACTCCTTTAACTATAACATTTTGTAACATGCAGGACATGTTGTATCAACTTAAATAGACTGCATGGCCAGCTTTTTTGTAAACTACTGTTTTGAAAGTCCTTAGGAGTTGCTTTATCGGCAACCCTAAGGCTGATGTACATAAGGATATCAAAATAAATAAAAGCTAATGTAAAAATGGGAAGATTACAATCCGGACAAGCATAAAATATACGCGCACAACGCGTAGAACCTAATAGAACTATACGTACACTATTATATACATGTACTATACGTACTACAAATTGTATACTACCATACGTACTATATTAATAAAGTAGTATACATACACTATAAGTTATTGTATCTAACATTATATATTTTAATTTATAACATTTCAACTAATGTATTTTCTTTAATAATATTTCAATTAATGTATTAAAACGTGCATATGTAGTAGTGCTAAATAAAATGACATGCACTTTCAATTTGGATTGAATTGAACTTGGATGGTTAACACTATGTAGCACATGCACTTTCAATTTGGATTTACTTGTTCAACAGACAGTGCATTTAAAGGAATAATGCATGCGCATGCAGTTCAGCTCTTCGTATTTTTGGAGTATAGCATGCATGAGCTCCTCAACTTAATCTCTATAATAATCTATGGATGAGGATGCCCTAAGTTTAAACGGGTAGCCTTTAGATGGCCATTGAATGAAAAAAACTATTCTAATAGAGAATGCTAACTTAATGGCTTAGACTTGCCAAACATCATTTGTTCAAAATAAAATAATTCCTTTGGCCGTTGCTTACTACCAATAAATCCTAGCACCAAGTGTATTTATTATTTTATCTAGCTTTATTTTATCCTAGCACCAAGTGTATTTATTATTTGGAAATAATTCTCAAATAATCTAGCTTTAGAATTCGATACCAGATTATTTTATCAAATAATCTCTACAAATAATCCAAACTTCTCAACCATGATCTCAAAAAAAATCTTCCACATCATCACAATGATCTCTATAATAATCTATGGATGAGGATGCCCTAAGTTTAAATGGGTAGCCTTTAGATGGCCATTGAATGAAAAAAACTATTCTAATAGAGAATGCTAACTTAATGGCTTAGACTTGCCAAACATCATTTGTTCAAAATAAAATAATTCCTTTGGCCGTTGCTTACTACCAATAAATCCTAGCACCAAGTGTATTTATTCTAAGCCAGCGTATTATCGAATTTACATTATGTAAAATATATATTATTTGGCACTATCTCTATCGCGCAACGCGCGACATAAAAACTAGTTTGTATTTATACAAGACATAGTGTCTGACGACACATAGGTTGGTTTTATGATTAAATTTATTTCTTTGATAACATTATACTTAGTGTGATTCTATTTTACCTTATCAAAATATGGTCATTCATGAGCTATGAACTCTTTCCACATTCCACGAATGCAATGACAACAAAAAACAAGTTAGTATGTTGGAACTTCTTTTTTACAATAATAGTTATAAAATTTACATTTTCGGACTTCTATTCTGCAATATAAAAATTTACTTGATAATGGTTAAGCGCACACATGTTCATAAATTAATCAATTTTCCATATCATGAATTAAATCAAGAGTACTATTTCTTCAGTTTTATACTCATTATGATCATCAAAGATTGATAGTAAAAAAAAAAAAATAGACGTCTAAGAAGGTAGATAAAGAAATATGATTTAAACATGGTGGTCTTAATCCTGTAAGTAGACATACAATTCACATGTCTTCTTCCATCTCTTTTTTATTCTAAATTGGTTACTAAATTGGTACAAATGTTTCAACATTTTAGAATGCGAAGATATGCACTTATAGGGAATCACGGATGGCAGGAGAAGGATTAAGCCCCTCAAATATGATTGTGAAATGATGGTTTGATTCTGTTTAAAAGTACTCTCTTCATCCCATTTTATCTATCATACTTTCCTTTTAGGGTTGTCTCAAAATAAGTGTCTCTTTTCCTTTTTTGGAAAGAAATATGTGGCCTACACCATTTCACTTAATTATACTCAAACCCCAACCACAACTTTTACTTTTTCAACCACTTCATTAATAACCGTACCAAGTCAAATTAAGACACATAAAATGGGACGGAGGTAGTATAATATTATTCTTGTTTTTCCTTCTATAAAAATGTCTATATATTTGGTCCCATGACTTGTTAATCCATACTCAATATTTGGTCCCGATCATTGGTAGGGAAAGCCCGGGTCCGACCCGGTTAAATCTGGGTTTGGGCCGGTTTCAGGTACTCGGGCGGTCCGGTCCCGGTCCAGACTCGGTCCACCCCTATGCAGAACTATGCACTTCTAAGCTCTACTAGTCCTCTCCGACCACATCTAAAAAAATCGACCGGTAATTATCCTGAAAGGATCAAAAGTAGCAACAAAACTGCATTCTTCACATTCTTGTACCAAAAGGGAGGGACCAAAAATTGGAATTCCGTAACCATTTTAAAATATAATTTCATTTAGTCGTGGTAGAAACACCTGAAGAGTAAAGGAGATTTTTTTTTGACACACGAGAGTAAAGGAGATTAGAAGAGTGTTACTCCCTTTCAATCGGTCCGATTTAGCTTATAATTATGTGATTGTCTATTTGTTTTTTGGGCATAACGTTTACTATAGTAAATTCCTCAAATTGTTAAACGCTTACATTTCTTAAATGTTATGCTTTCATATATTCTACGCTATGTTTCGGTACATGCACAGATCATTCAATATGAAAAAATCAAAATGGAAAATTTATCAATTATTTTAAAAGTAGCCCTGTTTGTGGTGGTCAACTCTGTCTGTTTAACATTTTCTTAATGTTTACATGCACTGTTTTTCCAACCCATTCCTTTTTAGAGCTTTATATATTCCTTAAAATGATGTATCGCTGTTTGAAAGCGCTTTTATATCTATTTACATCTACACAATTTTCACATTTCATAATAGTATTGTGTATTATCTTCCGCGCAACACGCGTCATAAAACTAGTTCTTTTCCAATAATTATGAATACGATATCGCTAATATATTCTCAAATCCGGTTAAGGCAGCGGGAGCGTGATTTTCATTACGTGTAATTCCTGTTATGACTTACATTTATCTACTGAAACCTCTTTTGAATATCATGCCATCACACCCATATCATATAAGACCGGATATATTTCTATTCTCGTTCCTATATATGCTTATCCTTTAGTGTTCTTAGTTTAGACCTCAACGTTAATTGCAAGCATAAACTAAGTTTAACATACTTCTATGTTGTACACTATAGTCATAAACAATTAAAGTATAAAGGATAAATCACAACTTGTTGGTTTAGAACTTTTATCAAACACCTAGTGGGCATAAAAGTTCATCCCTAGTCTTAGCTAAGAAATACATTATCTTTCATATGAAACTTTAATCATTTCCTTTTGATGTTTCTACGAAAATATATGATTGAACGATTGACAGAAGGCCATGCTAATCGTTGTTTTCAAGCTCTATTCGTCCCCGTTTGATTTCATACTTAATCCTTGAGCTCCCTTGACTTAAAAATCATTCCTTTAATGCCTCGCGGACCTTCAATGCTTATCAACAACTCTCAAATGTGTCTCGAATCGTTTCAGATAATTCTTTAACACCAGTGTCAGGCTCAATTTACTGATTTTGATTCTAAGAACACCAAATGCAAACCAAAACCCGGTAAACTATGACTTGAGCCAATTTGACACTTTGGGGGCACATTTAATTTAGGAAAACTCATAAAAACCAATCCCAACACGCATCAAATACGTGTTGAAATATGGACTAATCAATGATATTGACCACTTGGTTTGAGAAACCAAATTTCCTCATAATAGCCTGCAAAAAACTCCATGAGATTTAATCAAATGCCTTGTCCATATCAAGTTTAATTAATTACCACATTTCCCCCTGATTTTCTTATCAGAGAATGGATCATTTCCTGGGCCACCAAAATGTGTTCAGTGATATGTCTTCCTTTCATGAACCCTGCTTGTTCAATAGAAATAAGTTTGGGTAGAAAAAAGTGAAGCCTCTGACCCATAACTTTAGTGCACACCTTATTAATAATGTAGACAAGCAAATAGGTCTGAACTCAGAAAATCTTTAGGTGAATCAGATTTAGGGATCAAAATAAGCATAATGTTACCCATAACTTGAGGGATGTGATTTCACAAGAAGAAACCTTGAACTGTCCTTAGCACATCTTGACCTACAATATCCCAACATTTCTGAAAAAATTTGCCATTACATCCATCAGGTCCCGGAGCATTTTTTTTTTTTGTTTAGTTCCCATAGTGCCTTTCTAACCTCGTCAACTGTAGGAGAGTTGAGAATGATATTATTGTCCTCTTCACTCGGAATTGTAGGTATATGCTGCAAAATATCACCAAATATCACCAAATTCATCCTCCCGCCACAATTACAAAAAATATTGGGTTATTGTTGCGGTTGTACTCATGATCGCAGCAAAAGGGCTGCAGCAATTGATGAAATAGTAGTGCGTTCTGGAGAGAAGAGTTGAGAGAAGAAATCAACCGCTCCCTTTCCCATTTCCTCTTAATTAGAGCAAAGATATCCTGCTGAATCATTTATGGAGGAAATCGGGTGCTTCTTTTTTCTAATTTTGATAAAGGAATGGAAATAGTGCGCGTTGGAATCCCCCTCCTTCAACCACTAAATATGAGCCATAGGTTTCCAATAAGTTCTTGTTTGCTTGTATCTAGCCAACAACATGTTGGGTGTGTTTCGGAAAATAAAGAAAATTAATTAAAACAAATTAATTAAATTAAATGACTAGAGAAAAACAAGAAAGGAGATGAAGCAGAATTAGTCAAAGCTCGTGCTACGCACGATGTCCTTAAAACGTATTTGTTGCCTCCCACGGTGCTAGGAGCGTTGCAACAATCGTTTCCCAGGATACGATGACTACGAACTGATGTTTGAGCACACAAACAAAAGTTCCAGCGAACGAGAACACAGTATGAACACAGGGGAAATTTTCGGAATGCTAGCAGTGTGTTTTTGAGGTGCAAAACGTGAATGGAGTGTCTAAATTCGTGTGTTGTTGCAAACCACCTGCCAGCCATTATATAGGAGGATTTGTTGTATGAAAATAGTGAATTAATGGACCTGAACGTTGGACATCAATGACCAGTCCGTTGGGCATTGAATTGTCCATGAACTGTCC